GACTCTTAACCTATACCGGCGTGAGCACTGTCTGAAAGAATAAAGCAACTCCATAGACAGGAATGCTTATTGTAGAATAACTAGTAATGTGGTATTCAGCAGGCCGAAGACGCTCTGGCTAAATCAATCTCAAACTTTTACTTAAATGCGCGCAAGCTGAAAATGTATTCTGGCAGAGAAACGAAAGGGAAGAAGTGATAATATAGATTCGCAGCACAAAATAGCTGCTTAATTAATATAAATCTCTTACAACCTAAAGTGAAGAAAAGAAATGAATGAGAATATATAAAAATATACCAGATTTCTTTCCAAGATTATTGGTAATCAGCAACAAGAATACATTTGCTAAGCAGTCCCTAATTAAATTCAAAAACACTGCATATTATTTCTGACTTACTGATTTCGAGAAAACAAGATCCATACTGCTATAACACTCTTACTGTTGTTCTCATTCTTTTTTTAATAGTTATCGTAATTACTAGCATATTTCTCTTCCTCGCGTAATTCCTTCCGCAGTTTTTTCAGCATATAGAAACTTCTGATTTAAGATAACAATGTAAAATGTATGCATAAATTTTAAAGCATTTTATGGAAGTAAAAAGGAATATTATTGAAATTGAAAACCTTTTGAAATACATATTTTAATACTGTTAGTGTACTTTTATGCGAGAGTTTTAATAGGCTATGTTTATTATTACAGTCGTCTCTTCGGAAATATTATACACGACATATTTTTCCCCTGCCAGATTTCAAGCGGTATGATTAATATGAAAAGGGGGAGGGGCATATACGAAGAAATACAGAAATTGTTACAATAATACTTGCGTTTGTTTGGCCTATTTAATTTGATCTGATTTCACCAAGAAGGAAAATTATTATCTATTCATAAATTGGCGAGCAATTATTGCTTCCTCCAAAAAAAATCAAATAGTCTGGCATCTAATATCACCTTTTTTGCTATCTTTGTAAATTTTAATCCTATATCCCAAAGTTATTGTACTTATTTAAAATGCTAAGATTTAAATGTGACTATTTGTCATAATATGGCAAAATTTTGTAACTGGTTACATTCTCTAACTATACTGTATTTAAAATACAAAGTAAGCACTTATGTTTAATTCAAAGATTTCAAATAAACCATTCTTTATCTAAGTTTCTTACTTTTAGTTCTTAAACTGAAATGCATATTACGTAATCGAATTTACCTTTAAATATGTTGCCCTTCAAATTGTAGCATTTAATAAATTTTACAATGTATTTCTTTAAACTAAAACAACGCAGCACTTACTTCGTTAATATTTTATGACGTTTTCAGCATTCCAAACTCATATATAAATATGGCTAGTTAACTTGAATATTTTCGATAGTTTTAATGCATTGTAAGTATGCAAAGTTCCTGGCATACTTCGAGAACGAGGCTGAAATGAGTGTGGTTAAAATTGATAAATTATATTTTTTATTTCAAAAATATTCCTGCAACTAATTTTTATACATTGAGCAGATTTCTCTTCTCTTATTAGAAACGTATCGTTTCTAAATTCACATTATGAAACATTAATGCATCAGTATTAATTATCAACATTAATAGCAGTATGAGGTAGCAATATTAAAGTTTTAAGCTGTGAATATTAGAATTAGCGTACAAGCGAATATATGTAACAATGCCTTTTTTCTTTAAAATGGCTCTCTGAAAATCTTATTCGTATCACAGGCGCAGCCTAATATTTAAATAATATACTGTTATAAGAATTTTAAGTTTTACTAAGGTTTATTTTATTTTAAAACTTTACTGTCCCCTCTTATTTTCCACTTACTACCAGAATAAACGCGGGTAGTTTTGTTATGCAAATTGTAAGTATTTAAGTTGTGGCTTTTAGCTAAGAAGAAAGAAAGAGATTTCGCGCCACATTTATTTCACGCACGCTTTTCAGTTAGTTGCTGTCCGCCTTTAAGGCCAGAGGTTTAGTCCTCTTGATATTGAAGACGTATTATAGTTTTCCCCGCATTCTACGTACTACATACGTAAAGATCTAAAAGACCAATCTGAGTGTTACTACCTTTGTAAAATATTTGAGTTAGCTCTTATTTAATTTTAGTTAGTATGTAGTTCTTATTTTTACGTTCAGAGCACAAGTACTGGCCTCTGTATCCCGAAATGGTGGAGCGACTGTAAACTGTGAAGAATAAAGGGTAATTAAACCCTTCTTTTCTTTGGCATGCCTTTTACAAGTTCAAAAAGTATAGTTTAAAGTAAACTCACTGTTCTACTTAGGACACCCACATGTTCACCAAACAGATTAGAAGAAATAGTAGTCCTGATACTGTAAAGGTATTTTTTCATTTAAATTTTATATTTTATGTAAAAGGAAAATTTTTATTTCAGGTACACACAAAACATTGGCATTCAGATCATTTAATTAGCTTTCTTCTAAACGTCTTTCTGAAAGCCATACGCCACCTTATATGCACATTATGCAACCTAATTTTTGAAAAATATATAACAGTTGTTTATCATTAATATTGAACTTTTACATAAAAGAAAAATTTATTAAAAAACTAATGGACAAATTTAAATGAAATTTGACATAAATATGCATTTATAAAAGAGAAAAAGATGTACCATAAAAGTCCTTTTATGTAAGCATGAATGTAAGTAAAGCTTATAGTACAGTGATGTCCAAAATCTACGTTATTATATCGAACGTAAATTAATCTAATATAGGGTACGGTCCCCTATTCATATCCAGATAGGTCCCGAGCGTGACGGCATACTAGACAGGAGGCAGTTGAGGAGACACTGTGGCAATCGATCCCACTCCTGCAGCAAGGCCGTTTTCTCCTCCGCGTTAGTTCTCGGAAGGGGATGATGAACTGAAATTGCCCTTCCAAGAGCATCTCATACATGCTCTATACGGTTAAAGTCAGAAGATCTGGCTGGCCAGTCCTCACTTACTATGTAGCCGTCAACCAGCTGAGCCTTATGTCAACGAGAGCTACTGTACCCAGGACCATTTGCGCCCCTAAAAAGTCCAACATTGGTCTAAGATTTCCTCTCTATACCTCATTAACATACGCAGGGGTGGGCGGCCGTCCAACGTAATGCCTTCCTGTGCAGACAAGCCTCTACATTTATTCAACATCGAGTCTGTTCACTGCAACCGCTCAATGACAGAGCGAGATTCACCACGACAACCGGTTTTCGGTCTCTTCTTCTGCTAGACTCCGAAGGTGTAACACGGTCTTCTGTCCGTTCTCACCGCGGATGATGCGTGTCTGCAACTTGTTCTTTTTCATGCCTTTCTGACGATCATCTCCATGTAGTTTCAAGAGAATGCATTTTGTCAAAAAATAATAGTGTGTGGCATAAAGATTCAACCAAAATTGACCTAGATGCTGACTTCTGCGGTAAATGAATGATGTTTACGACTTGTGACGGTCTCGAAAGGAATTCCCGTGCACGTGTTGCCTCTTGTTGTGTTTCCACAAAAATATACTGGAATAATAACTCAAACCAACGTCCTTCGCTATAAAAATTCAAATTTGTTATCATGTAACCTTGTGCAACGAAGATGATCTGAGATTTAGCAGATTGGATTTTTACGCATTTTGTGCACGAAAGATTAGAACTCGAAATAGTAGGACTGATTCTTATTGCTGCAGTAGTACGTCGTATATTGTCTTCTGTCTGGTTATGTTTTCTTAATTTATATTAGTATTGATTTAAAATTTTACGATGTCAAGATATAATAAATTTCTCATAATTCACATTAATTGAAGTGTCACACATTTCATCCTCCAGTATTTCTGGCTTATTGCGCTATTCATTATTACATTTTGCACGTATCCACATTTTGGGTTATTGCGGTATCACATTTGGCACACCCATACATTATTACACTACCTAAATTATTAAACATCCACCACCTTAATGATCCTTTTCCCTGATAAGGGAAGAATGGTATAGTGTTCTAGGGTCTCTCCAGATGCAAGTACACCTAGAGTCATTTCCAGGCTAAAACTCGATTCATTTATAAAAACGCACGGTACTACACTGAGGTCTGATGCAAGGTGCATGATGTCAGCACTATGCTAACCGCGCTGTCTCATGTGCTGCAGGGAGCGGGACGCAAATAGCAGGTATTCTGGCATACAGCACTATCTCATTAAGCCTCGGGCAACTGTAGACCGTGAAACTCGGGTTCCAGTAGCATGCAGCTCACACGAGAGATAGCAAACGGATGTGGTGAAGCAGTACAAGCACGCAAATCGCAAAAAGGAATCCTCGTATTCGACCATAAACTGACGTAGTCCACTTTGCATATCTGCATAATTCTTCGGCGGCATAATTAGTACCTTCAGTTCAATACGTTTTGTAAAAATAGATGTAATTTTTAAATTCTCTTAATTTTGCACACGAGTGTATTTAAGTCTATTTTCATACGTAGCCTTTCCTTCCTGTAACTGACACGGGGCCCACCAGCGGCCGAGCGGTAACGTCGCTGAACACTGATAGTTCGGTCCGAGGTTCGAATCCCGCGAACGGGCTGGCTGCATGGGTGTTTTCGTGGTTTTCCCATGTGTAACGTGTATACGAGCCAGTTTCCCTTAGAAAGTCCTCCACGAAGGCATCCTTTACCTTAGGCAGATAGCCCTAGTGAGCTTTGCCATAATTAAATACACCTACACCTCCTGTAACTGACTATAAATATCCGGGATCGTCTTAGTTTGTGTCAGTGGCCTTAAATGGAATTCTCTCTCGATGCTACTGTTTATTTTATTATTTTTATATATTTCTAGCATCCATTTTCTCTTCATTTAAATATGAAATTGCTTTTAAATTCAAGCATTCTGAATTTTCACATATGATGTAAACAGAGTCCCATTTACTGTATGAATATTTTGTTAAATTCAGTGATATTTCCATTTGCTCGTAACGTGTGTACATAACGTGCACCGATATGTATGTTTTACTATCAAACTTTTTATTTCTGTATTTCTAGTGAGACGGGTAAAGTGCTGACACAGATGAAAGCAGGAGATTTTTTTGGAGAAATAGGGATACTCAACCTTGATGGATTTAACAGGTAAGTACCAACTGATTAAACCAGAAGTCTATGTACTTAATACTTTAAACAAAGAAATTTTCTGACAGAATATGGAAAGAAGAAATATTTCTTCGATAGGAAATTTTCTTAAAAAATAAACACATAAAAGAAATTAAGGGTAAAAAATAAGTTAAAATAAGTCAGGATAAGAACGAAAATTTTTACCTTTCATCCATTTTCAGAAAATGTTTAATGCAAATTCGATTCAAAATGGATAATAAAAAAGACTTCTATAAAATGGATTCTTAAATGAAATTGACCTAAATGTTAAAAGGGGAAACTAAAGGTACAGAGTCGTGCTCTGATAGACTTTAAGTGAAAATAGGTAGTGAGTTAAATTTATGATTTTTGCAAATCTAATAAAATATTTTAGCTTTTTCTATCAATATTATTATCTTCTTAAACTAAGCTTTTTCTTGAGAGATAAAAGTGGAACTATAAAAGAGTAATTCTAAAAGGATTATATTTCTTCTTGATAAAATATTAATTTCCATCTAATGCCATAGCTAAATATTGAAATGCCATGTGAAGTTCTGGCAGCATATAAGAATAAAAAAATAATTTCATATTTCATATCATAACGTGATTTCTTCTAATGCTAATAAAGTATGTATATTCTTCAAATTCCACGTAAAACCTGGAAATTACATTTGAATTTAAATTTACACTTTTATGTACCAAACAGGCTAGTGAACGTTATTTTTATCAAAGTTGCTTTTACAAGACACACAACAAGCAATTTTAAATGTTCTTAAAAATGTAAAAACTATTTAAATTGTCTCAAAAATTCACTTGAAAGAATTCTTTATCCACAAGAATAATTCATTTGAAAGCATTGTACTTGAAAAACTTTATTTCAAACAACTGAAAATTTCATAAAAATTGAATAAAATTTCATAAAAATGTTAATTCAGTTAGTTCATCATAGTTTTGCTTAAGATCCAAAAAATAAATTATCAAAAAAAAAAATGCATTTGTATCAAATAATGATATATGTAATCAGCCTTGAAAATAAATTTCACTACATTCAAAAACATTTTCACATAGCATTAAATTTCAAATTACTCAAATTTTAAAAAATATAAAAGAAAATTTATATTCTTAAAATGTAGCTGACTTTTGTGTTTGCTTGTTTTTTTTCTATACATATGAACAAATGAGAATAATTTTTGTACCTGCGAGTCAGAAATGTAGAATTAATTCTTTATATATACTAGTGTGCAAAACTTAAGCAACAAATTCATCTTCAATATGCAGCCATGAAATTGTTAAAAGGGCTTCTTGCAATAAGTACAATAAAAAGCCAACTCCCTAGAAAGGTGATGCATATGCAAATATTGGCACCATCAGATTGTATGTCAGCGCGAGAAAAACGCGAGGAGTCAGCGGGCGCAGTGCTAGGTAACTTAAAAAAAAAGGAAGGCGCATTTTCAGATATTCTTCTGCAAGTGAAAGTGATATTGTACGTGCTGGCTACACGAAAACGCCAGGATGCTTTTAAACGTAGGAGAATAATTGGGCAGACTTGAGTAGAAGCGTAGTTTGACTTCTGTCACCCAAGAGTTTAGAATTCATAAAAATGTTATTTCGCGAGCTTGGAAAGCCTTCCAGACGACAGGTACAAATGTAAGACAAGTTGGTAGTTGTCAGCCAAGGAACGCAATGGTGACTGACGATCGATATATCGCCCTGCAGACGAAATAAGATCGAAACCAGACTGACAAGAATGCTTAGCAGTTGCGTACTTAACCGGATGACAGGTGTCCCGGTTTACTATGGCCAGACGTCTTCATAAAGATGGCCTATTCGTCAGTCGTTCTGAATACTTCATATCATTGACAGCAACCCCTTGGCGGCACCGTTGACAGTAGTGTAGAGAACACAAAGGCTGGACACCTTATTAATCCTCTTTACCGAATAGTTTCAGTCTGACCAAAGATTCTTGGCGCCAGTTGATATGAATAGAAGTTGATATAGACAGGCAAACGCTTTCATTCCACTAACATCAGGGAAAGAAACGTTGGGTTTTTCCTGGCATGTGGGGAGGCATTATGATAAACAGACGGACAGAGCTCCACATTTTCGGCAGATGTTCATGTACCGGAGATCGTTACTGGGATCAGGTCATCCTCCTTCCACGAACGTCTCTTCTCTGGTGCCATTGGTCCCGATTTTAGTTTTTTAGATGACAATGCACCGCCACACAGGTCTCATGCTGTTGAGGAGCTTCTAAAAAATAAATATATCCACAGAATGGACTGGCCAGCGTGCTCCCCTAATTTAAATCTCATTGAACATATGTGAGATACTTTAGGAAGACGCCTGGTGGCACGATCGTACCCTCCGGAGAACACCAAACAATTGAAACAATTCTTCTTTGAAGAATGTGACTTCTTACTACAAGAACTGTTTGGTAATTTGACATTGAGTATCGAAAAATGGTGCAATGCAGCCATTGCAGTTAGAGAAGGGTCATATCCCTTATTAAGGCTCTTTAGTCTGTTGTTCTTCTTCTTGGCCAGACAATTTCCATTCTGTCAGTAAAACATTTTTTATTCTTTCTGTACTGTATCCGTCTTATTCATTTTTTTCTCCTATACCTTCCTTGCCCTTTAAGTGTTACATTATGCCTCTGTAGTATGAATTTTATGTCTTCCAATGGAGTTTTTTGTGGCATTAAGTCAAAAATCAGAAAAAATTGCTTAAGTTCTGCACAGTAGTGTAGTTTAAAGGCTACATTACTTTAGGTTATGGAACAATTCGGAATCCTTGTTTCTCATCTATTTCAGATTATATTTCTTACGTGGCTGTTGAGAATTTATTGTGTGACTTTCATAAATTAATTAGGAATTTTAATCAAACATTTAAATTCTCAAGCTTTTTCATTGTTTAGTTAAATGATTCTTTTGCTTCCATCTCTTCAGATATTTTGATCTTGTTATTTTGGAAATTTTCAGTTATTATGTTTCACTTTTCAGCTTTCGTCGCATGTGTGTAAACGAGAAAGTAATTAATGAATCAATATTTTCCTGATTTATTTGCTACACTCAGCACTCTATTAGTACCAGTTTAAAACAATTAAAATGGTTACTTTTATTACCTTTTTTGTACATTGCAGTTGCTTTTAGTATTATCTGATAATTTTTAAAAGAATTGCAAAATACAATTAAGTCAAAATAAATTAAAATATAAATAAACATTTAGAAATAATTACCAAAAAGCTTTTCAAATCATGAAAAACAACTCCAAACTTTAAGTAAATATAAAAGAGCAGATATGTGCAGGTATGCATACACAGTACAGCTGCATTTATTCCTTTATATTTGTTAAGAAAAATTACTGGGGAATGGTGCTTTTACTTGTTGCTCTGAAAGGATTTCTGTTAAGTATTCGAAGCAGCATATTTAAGTTTAATTTAGATAAACACTTCATTAATCTGGTAACGTACTATTATTTACTTTTTCTTTTTTAATTACATAGTTTTCCTTTCTTTTGGATGCTGTATCTGTCTAATATTATAATCTACGTAAAAATACTTCTCCAGACTTTTCCAGTTTTTCTATGAATTTGTTAATTTTAAATGTTTACGATTTCTTTTTGAACTTTAAAACGTTTTTTAAAAAATTTAATGTTTGCAAAAAAAAAAAAAAAAAAAAACGTTTGCAAGAAAATTACTTACAGGAATAAAATATTTTCTTCTCATTTCATAATTTTAAAATTTATATTCAATTTCAGTATTTATATATCATGAAAATGCTTTCTTTTCTGTACAGCTTATTAATATATACGGTAATTACCAAAATCTTAAAAACTGAGCAAACATAACCAATAATTGTAATAAGCTCTTAAAAATATTTTCTATTTAACTTTCAGTCATTATCACTTGCCTTTCACAGCAATATAATAAATTCCATACACAGATTGTGTGATTGCTGTGATGTAACAAATTACAACACAGAAATACTAGTAATAATTCAATCTGTGTCCTGTGATTTTTATTTCTTATTACTCAAATTTAAAAATTTTATAGTTTTATGAAAAATTCTTTCTTTTGGATCAGAGAAATTTTATGAGAATTGAGGTTAATAAATGCTTCATAGAATAATACATATATACCATGAAATTGCTTTTCATGAACTATATTATTGAATTAATGATTATTGGTCATTAAACACACTTTTAAGAAAAACGAAACACTTTTATTAAGCTTCAGAATGAAATTTAGTGTTTTTAAACTTATTTTTAGATTCTATTTTTAAATTTAAATATACTATTTAGTTTCCTTAATCACTAAAAATTTTAGAATGTAAGTGATTAAGTAATATCAATGTACACTGCCCCCCCCCAAAAAAGGGACCGTTCCTATATCTCCCGTTCTACAGGGCCGATTGACAAAATTCAAATTGCGTTTTTCATGTTTCGAAAGGGTGACTTAGGCTATATATTAGATTTATATATAGCATTGTTCTAACATAGATATTTTGACACAAAATCGGACTTTTCTGAAATAACATACCAACTTTTTTTTTTCCATATTTCGATTTAACGACTTAAAATATGTCTAAATATCAAATTTTGTAAAATTTGATGTGAAATTTACGGAGAAATTCAAAAATTTATCTTGGCACAATTTTATCCATTTACGCCACGAATAATTCACTCGAACTTCTTAATATATGGGAACCAATTTTCCTTTCCCTTCCATTATGCCGGAGAGGAAAAACCACATTTGATGTTTTACCGCTTTCAACAAATATGCCAAATTTCAAAACGCGCCAATATATAAATTCACGTATATCTTCGGAAATTTTGAGTAAAAAATTGTAATTTTTTGCAGGTATGCTTAGAAATACGTCTACTTTAAGATGACGGTAAGGATTTTATAGATATAATTCAATTTTTTTTTTGGAAAATTTATTTAAATTATTTTAAAATACAAATTTTAAAAATAAATAAATAAATGGGTGAATATTATTTGGAATGAAACTCAATTTCGAAATGTGAAAGGAAGAATAAATAAGTTTAGCAAAAGAAACAGATATTAATAAATATATACCAAACTCAATTAACATTGCGGAGCTAAAATCTTGAGAGCTAATATTTTTAAAAACTACTTGTGCGATTTTTACAGAACTTGGTAGTTTGGTTTAATTTGAGTCGTAGAATTGAAATATGGAAAAAACATTATATGTTATTTCAGAAAAAGTCCGATTTCGTGTCAAAATAGCTATATTAGAACAATGCTATATAGAAATTAATGCGTATCCGCTTTCGCGCTTTCGAGACATGAAAAACGCAAGTTGAATTTCGTCATTTGTCCCAGTAGAACGAGAGATATAGGGAACTGTCTTTTTTTTTTTTTTCAGTGTACATCGTACCTACTGTATTATGCAACTGCAGTAAAAGGAACAATTACAATTAGTATGTAAGCATTTTCATGCTAATAGATCATTTCTTCGTTGATTATTTCTATAAAAAATATTTTTTGCCAATTAAAAAGCATTTTGTCCGAGATTTTCTATCTGAGCTCCATAACGTTTATTCTAAAGTTCTTGATAGTTTTCCTTACCATTTTTGTACTTTTACGGAAGTACTATTCCAGGTTACCACTAGTTGTAAGAATAAATTGAGTTGTAAGAATATTGTAGGAATAAAAAATTCGTATAATTTCTTTAATGTTTATTCTGATCCGAATTTGTTTATTTAACTGACTTAATGTTTATCCTGATCAAAATCTGATTATTTTTAACCAACTTAACCCTTACCCTGATCATTTAACTTCCAATACGCATTAAGCAACGCATTTGTAAATGTGATGTAACTTTGTACAGACATGGCATATGGTGTTTTTTTTTTTTTTTTTTTTTAAGGCAGGCAAGATGAAAAATGAGTAGTCACCTTCGCCGGGAATCGAACAGCGGACCTCTAAATTACGCCCTGAGCGTACAGATTACTACACCACGAAGGCTACTCCCCCCTTTTAAAGAGCGACCGGGGTTTTTAGGCGACACAGCCACTGTCTAGACATTAGGTACTTTTTTTAATCAGGCAAGATGAAAAATGAGTAATCGCCTTCGCCGGGAATCGAACCACGAACCTCTCAATTACGCTCTGAACATACAGACTACTACACCACGAAGGCTCACAAGGAAAGTGGGAGAAATACCTTATAACTTGTATACCGCTGTGATTTAGGTACGAACGACCTACATGCGTAACAGAAAATGTTTGAATGATTTCTATATATAACAAAATTAATAGTGGTTAACATGGCATCTTCCTGAACCAATATTTATAAAGCCTAACGAATAATCATTTGGATCTGAAAAATGCAATATTCATGCAACAAAACTCTAACAAATTCATTAAAATTCTGAAAACCAATTTGAAAAATGCAATAATAAGAACTTTCAGAAAAGCAGGAAAATGGGAATAACAATAACGGTAATTATAAATATTTCAAAAGAACAATTTTATGGCTATTTAAATTTACATATTTATAATTCAACACAAATGAATAAATATTTAATGTAAAAACAATATTTTACTGTAATTTAGAACCAGTAGATCACATAAATTAACAAAACTGTATCCCATATTTCTACAACGAACTACTTTTCATTTCAAAAAAGCAACTTGGCAAAGGAAACCTAACTGCATACTTAAAATGTGCAGAATATAATTCAGTGATGTTTATATAATACTTCTTTTATTGATCATTTTTGGCTACTGACCAATTTAGTTTTGCTACATAATACCTACTACCACGAAATCTTTCGCTTTTAGCTAAAAATTATTTTATGCCTATTTATATAAAGTCTGTTGGTATTCATTTTGATCTCTAATTTTTTATATTTCAGGCGAACTGCTGACGTGCGGTCAGTCGGCTACTCAGAACTCTTTAGTCTTTCCAGAGAAGACATCTTAGCAGCGATGAAAGATTACCCAGAAGCTCAGGTATCATTTCCGCTTATTTCATTTGTGCAGTGAGTTTGAGGGAAGAAAGGTACATGTTTTGTTATGCTTAGATTACTCCGTCAAATGAAATTGCTCTATAGATAGGCAGTTCCTTTGAGAAATAAGCTTATTTTGATTAATGAAATCAGATGCATTGTTTTTTTAACGCACCACGTTTGTAAAATACAAACATTAAAAAAAAAAAAAAATTTACGTCGAGGAACCAAGGGAACTATTAAACGAATAATCACTTGGTTCAAAGAACAGAAAACGAAAATTAAAGAAGGGTTAATTACCCTTTATTATTTTTATACGTTTAAATTCAAAAGAAATAAGAACTAATGATTAACTAAGAGATTTAGTCGATGCTAACACAGTTCTAAAGTAGTTGGCCCGTAATCATAAATTAACCGGCCAACTACCAAAAGACACATAATAATACGGCCGAGCGTAACACCAGCTTAGAGAGACGTAGCCCAAAGACAAACGCCCACTACTCAGGAATCCTAACACTCTCTGTCGAAATCAGGTGAACTTGACTTAAACACTATTCTCTTCCTCATTTGCATTCAATGCGATTCTAAAAGCTCATTCTGGTAGGGAGTTGCAAGTTGAAAGTATATAAGATAGGAAAGATGTATTAAATTAAAATAACTGCCATAAAATATACCTTACAGCAACGATGCCCAACCTTGCGCACGCCGATCGTTTTGTATGTGCTCGCCAGCCCGATTAGGTACTATTAACAAAAAATATTTAAAAATAACCCTTCATTTATATTTCTTAATTGTTAAAACATGGTAAGCATTTATAGTCTTAAGATATATCTTGCAAGACTTATAAAATAATTTATTGCTGACTGATGAACTTGATAGCGAACATGGAATCTTACTGCTTCATTCCCATGTTAGATGACTCAGCAGGGAAAAAGTACTTCAACGATTTCTAGAACTTCTTTCGCCAATAAGGCAGTTTTGGGAATCCAGAAACGAAAGTTATAAAGATTTGGACGATAATGATTGGTTATCCGATCTGTATATTCTCACGCATATAACAGCTAAACTAAACGAAGATCTCCAGGGAAAAGGAAAAAAAAAAAAAAAACCTTTTTCAATTGACTGGGACTGTAACTGCTTTTCAGATAAAGTTAAATTTGTGGATAAATCAGATGAAAGGAAAAACTTTCACCCATTTTCAGAATTTATCAAACCATATTAATAACCACGAGGCAATTGAAACAGAGAAATACTCGGAAAACCTAAATGCACTGAAAACTAATTTTGAACTCCGCTTCTCTAATTTCCATAAAGTTCAACCATTATTATTATTCATCTCAAAACCATTTGCCGAAATTAATATTGCAGATGTATCACATAAGATTGGAAATCTGTTTAACAAAATGTTGATGTTTTGGAAATGTGCTCGCGATACGCCAAAGGTTGGGCACCACTGCCTTACAGTATTATACAGGAAGATTCAAAAGGTCTCAAGTAAACTAAGGGTAAGTCAGAAACGCAAAAACAAACCATTTTTACCAAGGATCATGAAGACTAAAACATCCTAATGTGTGCTGGAGAATGCTATTTTGAAATTGCCTTTGGCAGCTTAAGTCATTATCAATTCAGGCACTGATGTTGACGGATGGAAAAAAGAGTTTTTTAGGAAAGAGGGTAACTACATTCATCCGGCTTGCCGCCATTGATTTCTTCCTCTGGAGTTACTTCAAACGTCTTGTATAGACAATCTGTAACAAGACTTGTCGCAAAAATCCTAGAGAGACTGGACGTTTGCAGAATTAGGCTCTGAATTCCGAGACATTAAAGAAATGGGTGGAGGAAATGAAATTTTTCTAAAACTGCAAACAATCTTGTTCCTTATGCCTGTATTATATTTTATCTTTTAAATTAGTGTACCCAGGTGGTATTTCCGTCTTATTTGTGTTTTTTGATGAACTTTAAAATTTATCGAAGACCTTCGGGACCATTCTGAATAAATATGAGAATTTTGATGAAATGAAACAAAATTATTTTAAATATATGCTCATATATTTGCTGTAATACTTTATTTAAATTTATTTATAGTATTCTGTAAGGTTTCTAGCCCTTTGTGATAAAACGTCGAGAAACAGCTACTTCTCGCTGAGTTCAGGACAACTAAAGCGTAGACTCTAGAAGAGTTAAATTATTCTTTTATTCACTCATATAAGAATAACAGTCGGCCCCTTCTCGGGCTTACAGGGAAGCCTCTAGTCGGACTTTAATTCAGAATAAGAAATAAGAACTAAACTAAAGTTAACTAAATGAGACTTAGCCGAATCTAGACACAATTATCTAACGTAGTTTGCCCTTAAATTGAACTAGCCGGCGAATATTATTAGGCACGTATAATACGGTCGAGCATAACAACTTCAAGAGTGACTTAGCTAGAAGGCAAGCACACACCACTAAGGACTCCTAGCATTCTTTATCAAAGTTAGTTGAACCTTCCTTTAATACTTCTTCTAACTCATTTGCATTCAACTCGATTCTAAAATCTTATTCTGGTAGAGAGTTGTAAGTGGAAACAAGAAATTATATGAAAGGGTTTCGAAATTAAAGTAAGTGTTATAAAATTAAAATATACCTTACACGCTAATGATTTTTACTGCTTCCAATTTGGAAAAAAGTGATTTAGCTGTACTCTAAAGATAAACTTTTCCCTCCCTCGTTTGTTTACATTAGAAAGAAAGCTTATTACAATATTTAAGAAACAATGTACATTAAATTTACATTAAAGGTAACACTTTTGTTTTTCAAATTTAAGACTCTTTGATATTTTTTATTATAAGGACATTATTTCTATATATATTCTGAAAGAAAAACACGCAAACTAAGATTTTTTAGTTCCAAATATTTTCAATAGAACTCTTATGTAAATTACTCAGATGAATGTTATTTAATCCACAAATTCAGAAATTCAATAACATTTGGATTCAAATGCTTGCTAATTAAAATTTTGATTGCATTTGATCAAATGGTTGCTTGGATTTCTAAACAATATTATCTAGCAATTAATTATCAAATATTTTTAATCTCGTTAAGCATTAAAAATTATTCAAGAATATTTTTGACGTATAAATTATAAGTTCTTCTTAGAAATAAATAAAGAAAGAAATTTTTCTGGATGAATTGTACTGAAACCATAAAAGGTTATATTTCTCATCGAAATATGAATACACTGTTCTTGAGCATTCAGAAAAATTTTACAAGTCGTCCAACAGGAAAGTATTGCCTCTCTACTGAAATAATAAAAGCCCTTCTCTCACCCAAAAATTCAAGTCTTCTCTAAGTGTATCCATGAAGTTCAGTTAACCTGCTTTACGATGAAACCGTCCGTTCAGAATTTTATTCCTTAGCTTCCATAGTCCACTTTACAAGAGTGCAAAGTTTATCTTGGTAAAACACTCTTTTAGAACCAACTTTGAATGTACCCTAGGCAATTGAAACTGCTCACGCAGAAAGCAAGGAAACTCTCAAATTCAAATGTTATCCGTTTTCTTGTTTAACTGCAGTTGCAAGAAAGAATTCTTATGTTCTTTCTTCTAATACTAAAGTAAAGATTGACAGAATTTGCTCTATCTCTCTTTATCGTCTTCCTGATAATTCTTCGCGAAAGCCACAAAATTATCAAAACACTTTCCAAGCATTTCAATTTATCGTATCTATAGCTGTAATATCTTTCTTACAGAGTTTGTTGATATTTTTAACAAAACCAAGAAACTGTATTTTTTTAACTTTTTTAACACGCTTTAGACGCAATTATTCCTTAGTAAATCATTTTTTATTCAGAATAATTTTAATTAGCAAGCATTTGAATCCAAATGTTATTTCCTATAAATTTAAATACAAATATTAATTACTGCAGCTGAATTAAAATACTACTGTCTTTAGCTATGAAGCATATTATTTTACATGTAGAAAAACTATGCAGAAAGCTAAACAAACTATTAGTATTTATGCTTTAGGCTGTCAACTACTTGTTGCCAGTGAAAAGCATGAGAACTTTCTTGTAAATTACACTAACTTAGAAAGGCCTAAAGCCTAGGTTTTCCTTTCTTAAGTTTTGATACGGTACGTTACATATCACGATGCATCACGCTACCGATGTGTTTATATATATATATAACAAAGTAAAAAAGACCTTTGTGGTCAAGAACTTTTGCGCATTGAGCTGCAAAAATTAGAAAACAAGGTAAAAAGAATATTCTTAATGCTTCCGCTAAAACGTTGCTTTGATACTGCGGTTCTGGTGAAAAAAATTTTAACATTAGTAAAATAAAGTGCAATGAAAGGTGTAAACACTAAATAAACAATGTTATTACTAGAATATTTGTAAATAAAATTCAGATCTAATTGTAAGTAATATGTTAATCAAAGTAAGGCAAACTTTAAACAATAGAATAAAAGTATGACATAAGATTTAAGCAAAACTACAAAAACAAAAAGGCGGTAAATGGTAAATTAGCCCAATTCGAATCTCATTACTGACTCTTCAGGAGCAATTTATAATGATTTTCGAATCCAGCTAATTCCATATCGCGTTTCGTCGAAACAGATAATTGAAACTGTACACGAAACTCTTTTTGAATATTAACTGAAAAACTTAGTAAAAAACTTTAGTCTCAATTTCATTTCCTGACGCATCCGCTTGAAAATGCAAATGAAAAACACATTAATGGTGTAAGGAAAAACTATACATATTGGCCTGGTTAGGCAAATGTACAAAATAAAATAAAATAAATAGCGATTTGTTATTAGTCAAAAATGCAAGATCTTTAGGTAGGACCTACTAGCTTATAGAATTTAAACTTTGTGAACAAGTTAAAAAACAAAAAATTAAAATTAAAAATAAAAAGCGAAGAGTGTGTGTGTGATTATGGCAAAGCCTCAAGGGCTATCTGCCTAAGGGGAGGGATGCCTTCGTGGAGGACTTTCTAAGGGAAACTGGCTCGTATACACGTT